CAAAATTAAGGAACGGGGAATAAAAAATACCTAAACTTAGCATAATGTTGAATAGTCCTTAAATTGAATTTGAAGCTCACGATAGCCCGATTCTTCATTATTGTCGACCAATCACTTTATTACCGTCACATCGACAGAGTGTGAGCATAGGAGACGCGGTCTATCATATGGACTGGACTTTACTAAAAGTCAGCGAGAAGAAGGATCTTTTGATGATCATGAAACGAAGTGTAATTCCTATCAGATTTACCAGTAGTTTCCTCATCATTCTGTCCCTACAATCTTACAGTAACGTTAGTATTACTTTGATATACGGGANTAGAGCTTTCTTACGCTATGCTTCTTTTTCAGATTCTAAAAACGTCGTACTCGGCGTTCAATGTCTTACAACAGAAGTAGAAACAGTCGAGATTAAAGCGCGAACGTATTTACAAATAACGATAATAATATTGTAGTAAAGTATTTAAAATAATAGCTATGCGTAGATGTTACAGTTCTTTCCTTTTTACTGGAAATAGAAATATATCATCTTAATACACGATACATACTACGTGCATTCGGTATGTCTACCACACTTGACAAATTCTCTCTCGACAAATCGGCAGTTGTATTACTCGACGAAGGAGAAACTCAACTCCGTTGCACGCATCTGATTGTACTCTGTATACGTTATCACCTTTGCCTGTGTCGTATACACAGTCCTTTCTCCTATAGGGAAAATAGAATTTAGAATCATCGAATTGCCAGCGACATGGAAACCCATCAACATTTCATCGGATGGGAATGCAACGGCATGCTCGAATGCGAGGCGCAGCTTAGATCCTTAAACATTACGCAAGTAAAGCGACCTTTGCAGTATTCATAAGCGACATAACAGAAACTTGGCGAAGTAAGGAAGGAACGAACCAAAGAAGAGTAATACCGGGCAAAGTAATCCACCGTAATAGGTAACTCTATTTCATTAATGACCGTCATTAACGGCGAGCGGTCATGCCGTGTGGAGATGCTGGAAGCCGCGCTTAGTCCGCTTTGCAGTACGCATTCAACTACATTCTCTACGAATCAAATTATATTCTGCGACATTGAAGCAACATACGACAGCGCGTATCGATTATTATCGCGTCGTCCGACAAATGCGTTTACGATCGCGGTTATTGTCGTGACTCCCGTCAGATGCTAATGAAGCCAGTAAACGATTAAATTTACTCAGCCGGCGAGGTTGGCAACTTGAAAAATTGAACGTAGCTTGTTATTGAAACATGTAAGAAAATTAACGTCTATTGACGTTTCTTTGTAACTTATATTTGTATAAACAATATGTCATTATCTTTCGGAGTCAAATATTATCTGTTTTGTTTGTTAATGTGTACGGATTATTTTTTTTCTTATTACTACTAAACGATAAATTACATGAGTGCAAGTTTTAGTCGAAGATTCTGTTAATTCGGATAATCATCGATTAATCGAAATATGGTGAAAGTCACCCTTAATTTGCGACGATTAATCGTTATATCTCTGATACTTGTCACATACACACACACACACACACACACACACACTTCCATACACGATGCCATTAGATACTTATTCCTCCAGATACTCTTCCAGATGGTTCACGCGTAGTACAAAATTGCGCCTTTACATAAAATACTTCTGCCTCTATTCGTAATCACGAAAATGCAATTGCTTCGGATGAATTTTCTGATATACACCGTGGGTGGTGTGTGGCGGCCCATCAGGTGGTCGTCGAGCTTCGCTAAGTTGCTGTATAGCGCATTCACCTTCTGCACGATAGTCCCGTTGTACTTCCTGGTGCTGACCCAATTCATGGACCTCGTTCTCGTAGTCGATAACATGGACGATTTTACCACTAATTCCCTAATGTTTGTGACCATCATTGCTGTTTGTTGCAAAGCCACGATCGCGGTGATACGTCGAGATAGGATCATCGGTCTGGTGCAAACGTTGTCGCGAGAGCCGTGCAAGCCGCAAGACGTGGATGAATCAGCAATACAATCGAAATTCGACAAGTTCATCAGGTAAGTCGTTTCGTTCGGGGTGCGAACCACATTAAATGGAAATCGGTTGATCACTTTAGGTAACGTGACGTAACTAGACGCGTTTTGTTGGTGGGAAATACAATGTTTACTTTTTACGAACAAAATTTCCTTTTTAACGCATTCCATGCAAGACCAATATTAGATGACTTGTCATCCAAGCTGCGTATATTATTTTCCTTCCAACTCAATATTTTACGATCATGTTCCGATTTAGAGGTAAATTATCAAACGGCTGCTTGTATGCAGCATGGAACGTGTTAAGAACCGGAAATTCTCTTTCCTTCCAACTGAACGACCTTTGTTATAATATGTCAAGTTAATTGAATCGATCTATCTTTCCAATGCGCTTTTCATGCATCGGTATTGGTTTAAATTTTACGTTTCTAGGTCGTGTTCGATAAAGTATTCGCTTTTGGCGACCAGCTCCATCACAGGTCTCACCATCAGATCGGTGCTGAACGTTATGCAGGGTATCTTGCCTTACAGAGTATGGCTGCCGTATGACTCAAATATATCCTTGACGTTCTGGATCACGTCCATTCAACAGATCGTGTCCTTGATTTTCGCCACTATCATCAATGTCGGCACGGAAACATTGGTCTTAGGCCTGTTCCTCCAAACGTGTGCGCAACTAGAGATCTTCGAGAGGCGTCTTCACAAATTGGTGATCAGCAGGACAGCGAGTCGGAAGTGTTTCTCCGTCGATTCTGCGAGTTACAAAGAAGAAACAATTTCGAGATACATACGTCATCATCTCAGTATTTACAAGTTAGTCATATGAGTGTGTGTGTATATGTAATATAAAATTTTGTGTGAATATTTAATATAACATTTCGTCCGAAACCGAGTTGTCTCATCAGACGTGCGTCGCAGGTATGCCAAAACGGTAAACAACGTGTTCAACCAGGTACTCTTCATTCAATTCTTCGGCAGTATATTAACATTGTGTACGACTGTATATTATTTGTCGTCTCATATTATGGAATCCGAAGTTGCGACTCTGTTAATATACACTATTTGCATGTTCGTACAAATTTTTGTCTATTGCTGGTCGGGAAACGAGGTCTTATTTAAGGTGGGGAGCTATTTGAATTTCACTTTCCGTTCCAACGCACATACTTCATATCCTCGAGTCGAAATTTCTCCCCTGTATTCGACTCTTTCTATATTTTTGCTCTACGATTTTTCAGTGTTTGACATTTGACGTCTATTTTTTTCATATGGGATGTGATAAATTGCTTATTTCAAGTGCAACGTCGAGAAGCTCGAGTTTCGGATAAATGAAACTTATTGTTCTGAAATCCCTAAATGTGCAGTATGAAAATAAAAACGGAATCTCGACTCGATTTGAAAACTACATTAAACTGAATTTAAAGCTGACGATAGGCTGGCTCATCGTTTTACCGTAGACAAGTTATTTCGTTACTGACATGTCAACAGAGCGTGAGCATAGGAGATGCCGTGTATCATACGGATTGGCCTTTACTAACGATCAGCGAGAAGAAAGATCTGCTGATGATTATGAAGCGTAGTACAGTCCCCATCAAATTTACCAGTAGTTTTCTCATAACTCTATCCCTACAGTCTTACAGTAACGTTAGTATTATTATAATATACAGGGTTTCTCATTTACTACACATGAGAACTTCTACATTACGCTTCTCTTTCAGATACTGAAGACGTCGTACTCTTCGTTCAACGTGCTACAACAGTCCTGAGATAGTCCCGGGATAAAAATAATTAGAAACGATAAAAACAGTTGAGAACATCGCGCAAAATTATATCGGAAAAGCAATAATGATAATAGTGCTGTAGTATATTTGTAAAATAATAACGGCTGTATGTTGAAATTACCACCTGCATGTTTATCTGATCTTTATTATTCTTTGCATGAATTATGTTATAATAATTAGCGATATTTAGTAAAAGACGAGCTGGTGAATCCCGACTCGATTTGTCGCATGAGAAAAACAGCTGATTGTAGCTAAAAATAAAAAAATAGACCGTTTTTTGGTACACGATACGTACTACTGTGCGAGACACTCCGTACTTGTTTTACTATATTGATACGTTTTCCTCCGACATTCGTTCTACTCGACAAGGAGACGCGGACCCTCAACTTGAAAATCATATCCGTTTATACTGTACATATTATCCCCCTCCCCTGTTTTACCTCTTTGTTACATCGCCTCGCACCGCTGGACAATAAAGTCTTCTCTTGTGAGAGAAATATAATCTAGTACGTCGAATTGCTGGCGACGAGACATGAAAATCCATTAACATTTCATCGGATGGGAATGCGACGGTATGTTCGAATGCAAAGCACAGCGTGCCTTGAAACGTTGCAAATAGAGCGACCTTTACAGTATTCATGAATGAGACGGAGGAAACTTTGCGTAAGAAAGGAACGTCAAATCCCGACTCGATTTGAAAAGTGATATTCAGCGGCGAAGGGATCCACCGTAATAGGTAACTCTGTTTTATTAATAACCGTCATTAATGGCAAGGGATTGTACCGAGCGAAAATGGAGAAAGTGAAACCACGCGTAGTCCGTTTGCAATACGCATTCGACTACTTTTGCTTCGAATTTAATTATCGTCCGCGACATCAAAGCAACTACTTACAATCGCGCTGGCGCGTAACAATTTCATCGCGTTGCTGAATAAATGTTCGATAAATATGTTTGATAAATAATCTAGTACTTGGGGTAACTTTCAGCAAATTCTGATTAAGCCAAGCGATGATTAATTCAGTGCCAGCTCTCAGAGTCAAATATTGCTCGTTCTGTCTGTTAATTTATATGACATTAATTTTTTGTTTATTATTATTAAAAAGAAAAATTACAGAAATAAAAATTGCTGTTGGCAATTCTGCCGATTAGTCACCGATTGGTTTAATCGAAGTTTGACAAAAGTCACTCTTAATTCGTGACGGTTAACTGATATATCCCAGATATCTGACACCATTGGATATTTGTTTCCTTCCCGAATATTCTTCTAGATGTTTCACGCGTAGAGCAATATACTTTCTTCTCGATAAGCCGTTCGTAATTACGAGAATGCAAATACTCCGGTTGAATTTTTTGATATGGGTCGTAGGTGGTGTTTGGCGACCCCTCTCGTGGTCGTCGAACATCGCAAAGTTTTTGTACAACCTGTTCACCTTCTGCACAATCGTACCGTTATACTTTCTGATGCTGACCCAACTCATGGATATCGTTCTTATCGTCGACAATATGGACGACTTCACCACCAATTCTCTCATGTTGATGACTATCGTCGCCGTTTGTTGCAAAGCGACGATCGCTGTGTTGCGTCGGAACGGGATCATCAGCCTAGTACAGATGCTGCTGTCGGACCCGTGCCGGCCTCGAGATGAGGATGAATTTGCAATACAAGCGAAATTTAACAAGTTCATCAGGTGAGTACGAGTAATTACGCTAACTGACATTACGATAACCGACGACTATAAGTAGATTCTTGTGCGTTTCTGTCAATATCTATTGTTACGTCCTGGGTACTTCGGAAGTGCCTTGACCTGATCCGCAGACCTACCAGTACGTTTAGAACTCGCGAGTGCACGAGTAAGCGATATTTGTTGCGTACATCCTCTTCCAGGACGTAACACTATGAAAACCCAACGTAAATCTTGTTCTTCCTTCTCCTCCTTTCCTTTTTTCGTCTTCCAATGTCGACAGAGAGCTGAATATATAATTTACGAAAAGTAATCTCATTTAATTTCAACGTCAATTTAAATCGACTCTCCGCATTCTCGCAGGTCATGGTCGATAAAATATTCGCTTTTAGCGACGAGTTCCGTCACGGGTGTTACGGTGAAATCAGTGCTGAACATCATGCAAGGTATCTTGCCGTACAGAGTATGGCTGCCATACGATCCGAGCGTATCTCTGCTGTTCTGGATCACGTCTGTCCTGCAGATTGTATCCGTGATCTTCACCACGATCATAAACGTGGGCACGGAGACCTTGGTGTTCGGCTTCTTCCTGCAAACGTGCGCCCAGTTCGAAATACTCGAACGTCGTCTTCAGAAATCGGTGATCAGTAAGACTAAGCCACTGGCCAAGTTACCGCTGTACAAGGCGAATACTATGATATCAGAGCATATACACCATCACCTCCGAATTTTCAAGTTAGTCATTAGCAAGAAATCATATATATATAACGTGATCAGTTTAGTTTATTCTGCTGTTAGTGGACCGCTTGAAAATTTGTTTGTCTAGTATAACATGGCTGAAGGTAAGCTTTAAGATCGTCTGCATTCGGCGTGCATTGCAGATACGCAAAAACAGTGAACAGCATATTCAATCAGATTCTCTTTGTCCAGTTCTTCAGTAGTATATTGATACTGTGTACGAGCGTGTATTATCTATCGTCGCATATCACAGAATCCGAATCGGCGACTTTAGTGGTGTACACCATTTGCATGTTCGTGCAAATCTACGTCTATTGTTGGTCCGGCAATGAAGTCATACTCAAGGTAAGGCTATTTATTCTCTACAATATATTCTTAACGACGGGTGTGTTTGGTGAATCGAAACTCAAAATATTCTAAAAGTATTCTAAAATCCGACGGGGAATCGTACGTCGGGGACTCCTTCATTCAACTACGCGTCCTCCCTCGTTCTCACAAATACCTCAGACTGTCCCATTATTCTAATCGCGCAATGATTACGGAGTTATAAGTTTCACCTTCGAATTACTCTTACGCATTATATGATTCGTATAACTAAAATCGATAGTCATATTGAGCTCAACACTTGGAGCCATTACGTAAATCATGTAATGAAAATCATTAGCGCATCGAGGGTGCGAATGAAATACCTGTCGCGGACACACACCCGATTGCGGCGTAAAAAAGATCGGGATTAACGCGCTCTACAACGCAAGAGACGCGTGTCTAGTGTTTTTTTTTCTTTTGCACGGACGCGTAAGGATAATGTTTGCCAATTGTATTTAAGGTTGCATTTGATTGGGTTTCGATTAATGTGCTATTAAAATTGGAATATGTTCCCAAGGAAATAGATTGATGGTATAACTACCTCAATCGGCGATCTAATGGCATCTTTCATCCTTATTCCCGTCATGTTCGCAGAGTGCGAGCATAGGAGACGCGGTGTATCAAACGGACTGGCCGTCGCTGTCGGTCAGCGAGAAGAAAGATCTGCTGATGATCATGAAACGCAGCACGATGCCTATCAAGTTCACCAGCAGTTTCCTCATAACTTTGTCCCTCCAATCTTACAGCAACGTTAGTATTACCGATGCTATGTCGAGCGTGTAACGCCAAGAGATTCGTACTGCCACATTATGTAATTCCTCTTTCAGATCTTGAAAACATCGTACTCGACGTACAACGTGCTGCAACGGTCATGAGACATAAGTGATAATCGAGAATATACATACTAGGGCGTGATGATAACGATACTGTAGTTTCTGATCAATCAATGGCTGTGAATCCGAAGAGATCTTTGTCCATATGCATTTACCTTCGAGCTCACGCCTTCTCAAGTCTCGACGATTGGACGTTATTCCGAATTATCATCGATATTTCAATTCTACTGTTAGTCCTGCAAATTTTCCGATTTCGGTGTATTTCGAATATTGTCTCGAAAAAATGATAAAATAATATTTCGTCATACGCGTGTGCCACCTGCGCAAACACTCCGGACAATCTCGTTACACACGGCGGGCGGACACACGGATGGTTAACCCGATAATCATCTCTATTCGCATTACGTATTATCCCTCCCGTTGCGTTTATATTTTGTACTTTTATGCGATAAAATTAGGTTTTGTAGGAAAATGATCTTGTCTACAGAGTCGCTCCTCCGGGGGGTGACGTATGAAAATGGATGAATATTTAATTCGATGGGAATGAGACGGCATGTTGAAGTACAGCGGACGGCATCCCTTTTTCATTCGTTGCTCGACAACTTGAACGAGCCTGATAATTACAGTTTTCGCGCAGCACTCGGCATTCGGAGCGGGAAGTACCGTGCGTCGTAAATAGAAGAGGAAAAAAGCAGCTGCAATACGCGATTCCGCGCGGATATTATTAATGACCGTAATTAACGGCGTGCTATAGAATTACGTTCTACACAAGACAGGGTTACAAAGTTGACGAACCCTCCTTCGCATAACGAATCGGTTAATTGCAATTTAATTATCCTTATCGATACACGATATAGCCTTATTAAAGCAACGTTGCGCCCATATCGCATGGGGCATCCACGTATCGATTTCATCGTACAGCTCCGTAAAAATGTGAGAGACGGTATATTTCTCACGGGGAGAAGAAGAGAAGAGAAAAGCAGCGCGATAAGTAGTATCGACGCGCTCATTACGGTGCAATTAGGTCGTCGTCATCGTCGTTTTCTCAGATTCTTCTCTAGGATAGAGCAAGCGGATAGAGATTTTTACGGCAGGTGAATAAGGTTTATCACGGTCGTGGACGACGATTGGGAACGAACATTCAACGACGAGAGAAAGCCTTTAGGACGAATTAATACATTCGAGATATTCGGCGCTTGAGAGAGAATCTTTCGTCCGGACATCTCCGGCATGTACGGAAGCGACGCGACGCTTCTGAGCGATGCTTCACTGAATCACCCCTAATCGCCCGAGAGATGCAAATACTTCCGTTGAATTTCTTCATATACACTGTGGGCGGTGTGTGGCGACCCGTCGAGTGGTCCTCGAACCTCGCCAAGTTTTCGTACAACGTCTTCACGTTCTTCACGATCGTTCCGCTGTACTTCCTGGTGCTGACACAATTCCTGGATATCGTCCTAATCGTGGACAATATGGACGATTTCGCGACCAATTCCCTCATGTTCATGACTATCGTTGGTGTTTGCTGCAAAGCCACCGTGGCGGTGTTACGTCGGAACGCGATCATCGATTTGGTCGGGATACTGCTGAAGGAGCCGTGCAAACCTCGGGACAAAGACGAAATTATGATACAGGCGAAATTCGACGAGTTTGTTAGGTAGAGGTGTTTCGTTCAACAATGCGCAGTGGTCCAAGATAGATATTTCTTGGCCAAAAGTCGTTTCTTTCAAGTTTCACCTCAAATTGAAATATAGTTTTATAATGTTCTATAGTCAAATAATCATTAATTGTTATCATTTATTACTCTTTCATCGCTCATCGGTAAGTATGATGCTAGAAATATCGCTCATTCAAAGATAATCTTTAGCCGCATTTATCGGGCTGTCAAAATTCCTCGTAAAAATTGAATCGTGGCTGGCTAGCCGCAGGATAGTAAATTTGTGTCTAACGTTGCTGCCCAGACAGCAGAAAATATCCTTGGGATAATCCTGAAGATATCTTACATGTATCTATAAATGCGAAATATATGTAGGATATCATAATATTTCAGGAAATCCTAAGAAAAGTCCCTTGACTCGGATAATATGCGGATATCCTTTGGATGTTCTAAAGGCATCCGTTTAGTACGCAGAATAACATCCCTTAAAGGCATTTTCTGTGCATAAAAATAATCTTTATCGAGATTCAGAGTTTTAGCCGAAAGTTTTTACTTTCAAACTAGCTGTGCCGCCTCGGCGCAGCTAGCAATACCCCCCTCTGACGTTTCCAGGTCATGCTCGATTAAATACTCGCTTTTGGCGACGGGTTCCATCATGAGCTTCACGATAAGGTCGATACTGAACGTTGTGCAAGGTGACTTACCCTACAGAGTGTGGCTGCCGTACGACTCAAACAATACTCTATTCTTCTGGATCACGTCGATCCATCAGATCATCACCTTGACATTCGCCACCATCATCAACGTCGGCACGGAGACCCTGATCTTTGGCCTCTTCTTACAGACGTGCGTCCAACTCGAGATCTTCGAGTATCGTCTGCACAAATTTGTGACGAATAAAACGACGCACTTTCGTCGGGAGTATCTTTCGCGCGGCTTGTCGGGTAAAGCGAAAGCGATTTTATCGGGATATATACGTCATCATCTCGACATTTACAAGTTGGTCGCGTGAAATTTTATAGGCAATAATAATATAACTAAATAGAAACGTGTAGAAAAGTAATGTAAAATATTAGGGGCTTTCGCAAAAGTTTGTCGGATCGCCGATGATTTCGTCCGTATGACGAGTTACCGTTAGCGCAATCATTGTGAAATTTTCCGTCAACTGATAATGCCGTTATTGCGCAATGCTTTCACTATTTGCCTATCGGAATTTGCTATTTACTAAAAGAAATGTAGCTAAAAATCTGACGAAATTTCCACAAGCCTCTAATATATTAGTATCAAACAAAATGACGTGTAATACTAAACTACGAAAGTCTAATCCTGAGTATCTGCAATACTAACGTGACACGTCATTCCAGGTATGCTAAAACGTTAAACAACATATTCAACCAGGTACTCTTTTTCCAATTCTTCGGGAGCATATTGGTGTTATGTACAAGCGTGTATTACATGTCGACGCACATCACGGGGTCCGAGGCTGCAACTTTGCCGGCGTACACTATTTGCATGATCGTACAAATCTTCGTTTACTGCTGGTCCGGAAATGAAGTCATACTCAAGGTAAAATCGCTTCAAGGTAAAATGCTACATTCCAAAATCCATTCCCGGAAAGCGCGCGCGTGTACAGACAGGGCGATACCTGACTGACAACAAATTGGCGCGGCATTATCGTAAAGTAATCGTTCTTTATTGTTGTGTGAACAGAGTGCGAACATAGGCAGTGCGATATATCATATGAACTGGCCCTCGCTGTCGATCAGCGAAAAGAAGGATCTCCTGATGATAATGAAACGCAGTACAGTCCCTATAAAGTTTACTAGTAGTTTCTTGATAACTTTCTCCCTCGAGTCTTACAGCAACGTTAGTAATACTGTTGGAATTATAAAAGAATAAGTACTTATTTTTTTAACATGCTTTAAAATGCAAATATATCTCTGTAATATTAATAGGATTGTTCTCTCTCTTTCTCTTGTTTTACATTACAATTCTCTTTCAGATCCTGAAAACGTCGTATTCGGCATTTAACGTGTTACAACAGTCCTGAAATACAAACAATCGTAGACGCAATATTTCAGAAACGCAAAATATCGTAGATATTTTTAAAATAAATTTAGTGACTGTGTAAATCTACTTTCTGCTTATCTCTTCTATCAATCTCGATCTCGCTCTTTAACGTTCTCTCTCTCTCTCTCTCTCTCTCTCTCGTCTCATCTTATCGAACCGGTCTGCGTTCCGGGATGAGCGAAAACGAGTCGAGATAACGAGCCGTCTCCCTGTATCTTTATGTATTACCCTGGTAAGTTCCCTGACAATGCGTGATGATACACAGTATATAAGAGAAACAGCGAGTAGTTTTCCTTCCGTCTTTAAGGACGAATATATACCCATGGACAATAGTTGTAAATGTAGCGGAACGAAACGCTAAGTGATTAGCGTTTAGTGAATATATAATGCAATAATCACAAGTTTTTCTGACACATATATATAACAATATAGATTTAATAAATGTTTTTGAGATATATATTTGAGGAAACAATCACATAGTATGATATAATTGCCTATGTGCTATTGAGATAAGTAACACCAGAAATATTTTCCTTGCGTATGTGTGTAGATTGGAATAATTTATCTCGCATATTCTTTGCAAGCTTTGGTATGTTTCGGTATAAAAAAATAATCTCTTAGATATACATACCACTTTTTTCGCAATTTCCAGCCAATCAGTGCCAAATTGGCACATAATGCACAGGCTTCACGTCCTAAACGGATATCACATACAATGTGCTTGCAACAATAATATGAATGGCATCTTGGCACCTACGACAACGCCTATACGTAAAATAGTCATCTGCTCGTAAGACTAGTAAAACTACAGAGAGTAATGCACATGCCCACTAATGGATGCACAGTATACATAAATTTGGCAACTTTATTTCCGCTTAAAGATCCAGTGCAGAATGGTCCATCAAATTTTTCAACAAACTGCTCGACATCCTGAAAAAAAATATATGTTATTAGCTTCAGCGATCGTATGTCCGAATTGATTATTTTATCTTTAATTTAGTTCACGAATCTTTATCCGTAATATTAATGTCACATATATTTTATGACATTAACATTGCATCTACGCGAATCTTCTAGTGATTTTACGCTGCATACAATCCTGAATGCAAATTTAGGCCAAAATAAATAAACGAGTATTTAAAAAAAAGAATACAATTGAAAGCATTTAAAGGAATTGTGACCAAAGCCCAAATTTCAGGTTTTTTTTTTTATATCTTTCCCTGACTTTTCTACATTTTTCCTGACATTTTTAAATTTCCATAACTTTTTTCGGTTTTCATAGTTTTCATTAATAACTATTGTATTCATATAATACATACTTCTTCACCATATGGTCGTAAATGTACGAAGGAATCACTGTCACTGTGATGATATTTCCACCATTTTCAATCTCTACTGTAATATCTTTATCCTTCATCCCGACTACATTCTGTAAGGTATCAAATTAGATTCAGAGTTATTAATTATTTTGTCGGACTTAGGAAAATAGTAATAATATAAATTACATTGTGCATACCTTTCCATTAATTTCGAGTAACTGATGATCAGTTAGTAATCCATTTCGTGCAGCCGAAGAATCTTTAATTAAAGCGATTATTTTCCCATTCTTGAATTGAAATCCAACGTAACCCATGCTATCCTTGAGCATCGATACGGTACGCTCAAGCGGTCTGCAATAAAATTACAATGATTATTGATGTCACACGTGTAATATATTTGCAAAGGGAATAAACGCGATGAAGACATATAAATGCTTCAAAATTAAAATTTCTGAAAGACCGACCTATCGCGTATGACCACTTTAATTCCGTTGATGCTTGCGTTACGGAAAAGTGTGTGTACTTGATCCATCGAATATCCAGCAACGCACACTTCATTGATACTTAAGATTTGATCGCCAAAACGTAATCCGGCCATCGCAGCTGGAGAATTCTGGCTTACGAGACATACGAAAACGCCATTGTTTACTGAGTGTACTCGAACACCAACTTTTCCATCTTTATCCTTGCACAATATCAGCTGTAAAAAACAATAAAATGTTGATTTCATATTTTCCTAATATTAACTCAAGAGCTTCCAATTTATAGATTAGCAATATTTTGTTGTACATAGGATTTGCATTATCTATATAATAATTAATAACTCAAAATTCCGCAAGATGGTACAGAGCCTTTTTGTTAATCTCAATCCGTTCTACATGCTCATGAAATTTGTCCATTGAGTTCTGGGATACCTTGTATATGACTAATGATTAGAAATATAGAAGTATTTTAATATTAAGTCTAACCTCTCTAATGCCATTTGTTACAAAAGCTTTCTGCAAAGCCATCGACTGTCCGGACAGAGGAGCAATCATTCCTGACAATGAATTCCTTGTCTCATTAGGTGAAATAACTGCCATCTGAAATTATACGGTATACATACGATATCGTGAATGAATTAAAATTTCCAATTTTTCTTTAATAAAGTCGATAATCATAATGAAGGTAAATTCAATAACTTAACTTAACTGTTCATGACATTTATGTAAATGTAAATTAAGATGAAATATTCAGTATTGTACTGGTACTTGTTAATTACATTTTGACGCGTTGCAAGTGTGTATTCGGGCATATTTCGTGCAATAGCCTCCTCACTTAACTCAAGTCCCATGTAATCCAGTCCCAAGTCTTCTAAGTTTGGATACAACGGTGACATAGAAGGAAATTCGGCAGGAGCTGAGGGAATCGCAGGCCCTGATGATATTTTTGGGAGGGCATATTGCGACTCGATCTGCGCTTGAGCCTGTAATATTATTTCAATTGGTATAATTTATTCATTTGTTTATAAATTATATATGTTTATGTGTGTGTGACTTACCTTCATCAAATGATCCACATTCATATCTTCCAACGTAGGATAGAGAGACATTTTGATTCTTCCTTATAAATCTTTACTGTCTTATCTTCTTTCTTGAAGTGGTTGATAACAATATATTTTCAGTGGAACAAAAGATCAGAGGTGTTGATAATATGGTAAAATTTATCTGATTCAGTTTTGACTTTATCAGAATGACTTTTTATTATAAAAACTGTAAAATTATTTTATGTGCTTTAATAATTAAACTTTGCACATGAAAATAATGTGATATCTTCTCAATTTTATAAGACATAAATGATGGTATATATTTAACAGATTATTCATAATATTTTTTATTTATAATATTTAATCCTAATATCAGTATATATTTATTTATAATGTCCATTTGTCAGTATTTGTCAATTCATAAGAATAGATAGCTATATTAATATTGAGGTCAAATTTATGTTGTAGCATGGAAGACACAAAGAAATTAGATTCTGACAGTGGTTTTTCCTTCTCTTCTTCTTATTATTCGTGTCTCATAGAATTTATAGTAATAAAGTGCAGGATAAATTCCTCAAATCATTGACTCATAGCTATGTGTTGCAAGAGGGAGATTTACCATGTTACAAGAAGCGATTATTCATACGTAATGACATCATTTGTTGAAAAAAACACATGGTGTATTACACTCTAATTTTTATCGACATTTATACATAATACCAGTGCGACACATTTATTGAATACGTTAAATGCACGATAAAATATGTTGCAATTAAAATAGACGAAGATATGCTGACTCAACGCAGCTCAACGATTGATAACAAAAGTTCACATACCGATATCGTGACGAATATATATCGACAAACACATGTATTCCATAAGATTATGTGACTTACCAATCAATACAGGCTTTAATGCATCAACGCGCTACTGCGAATACAAAAACGCGTACACGCCTCACAGATAACAGTTGGACGATATTCTTCTTCGCGCTTCTCGCCGTAAACTGTCAACGCAATATCGGCATATCTCGCGGACGTGCACAACTGACAACTACGAGAACGACGCAGCAACGACGCTGCTGCTCGCCCGACCACAAAGATGAACTTAGAGAGAGTTCACACGGTGTCTGTGCAGACTCGGAAATGAAATGGTAGCAACGCCATTTCTTATCGATGAGTTTCGCAATGCATCCGATAAAAGAATCTTTTTCGCGCCCATTTCTAAACCATCATGGTTTGTAAATCTAATAAACGATTAACTCAACGGAATTGACCAATCGCACTGATCGGTTGAGCCCAATACGATTGGTCAATCCTGTTAAGTTAATGGTTGATTAGATTTAAATTACGATATTAAAAGTAGGCAAAAAGAATCTTTCGAAGTTCGTTGTAAGATGTCTTGAACTTATATTTTTCAATGATAAAGATAAAAAAGTCTTTTTAAACCGCTATTTCATCGGTCACGCTACCGAAAGCTTCGTCTGACTTGCCATCGATTCGTACTACTCGCGAAAAGAGGTCGCTGACCAACGTACTAATAATTGAGGCGGATGAACCTTACGGAATTTAGCGTAGGCGAGAAATTTCGCCGTTTAATCATTTCCTGCCGGTAATTCTGCTCAAATCAGCATTAATGATAACTGCAGAAATGCTGCTTCGACAATACAAGAAATTGAAAAATACAAAATTGCGAAATATATCTCACAGATAGGCGTTGCTTCACAATTGTGCGCAATACCTTTCTTCGTTCCTGTCGACCTCGCTCTTTTCACAACTTTCCGCTTTTGAGTTTCATCCAACCTCCAACGTCTCCTACGACTTCCTCCGTCTTCCCGCTGTCGCTCGAGCGTCGTCCGATTTCGCCGAGCGCAACTGTATTTCTCCCTGGTTTCGTTACATCGAAACATTGAATGAGTCATCGCGCGCGCTCAACTAAAATTAATACCGCGCCGAATCCCCGTGATGAAAGAACGAGTCGTGTGGCGCCATCTATCAACACGCCCGCGTACGGCGCTCGGCGTATTCGCGCTGCCCCCAGCGAGATGGGATTTTAATCGGGTACGCGTGGAGGGATCGCGCGCTTCGCGAGTTGTCAATTCGCGATTCGTGATTGAATAACCAGTTTTCACGCTGACGCTCGCTCGGTGGACTCGTCGGTAACGAGGCGACGGTTCGCGGCGTCCAGGCACCGATCGACAGAATGGACACTGGGATCTCGTAGCAAAACGCCAAGTGAAACGCGCGAGTCCGTGGGGCAGGGTGCGATAGGGAAGAGAAAGAGAGAGAGAAAGCGTGGGGGAGCGAGACGGAGCGTGTGAAGCCAACGAAAGGAAGAAGAAGGCAGGAAGAGCGGAAAGGCAGACGTTGGGAAGGCAGCGGGAAGGATTGCGAGGTCCGTCACGCGCCAGGTGTCTCGCAGCGGAGAGGCTGCCTGCTGGAAAACTGCGCGCAGTTTCCCCGGGAAGAAACCAAAAAAAATGAGAACGATCTCTTCGTAATCGGTAAGCGTATCCACTATGGTCTTCTTATTTGATTAAGTTTATTCAGTTACCGGATCTTAAAAGGCACTTTCTCCCTCTTTCTCTTTTCCCCTCCATCTTTCACTCTCTCTCTCTCTCTCTCTCTCATTCTGTATAGCTGGACGTTCTGTCAGACGGCCGTTCCAACGGCTACACACAATAGGCAGCTATTTATCGATTTTTCGACGGCCGTCGAACGCGAAATTCACGCGACGGTAGGAGGATCTCTCATGCGGCTCGTCGGCGATCGCGATCTCTCTGTTTACCTGGCACGTCGCCCCCGCGTCGCGCGGCGAGGCCTCCGAGCTGTCAGGGACAGCGGACAACGTTTTAGGTTATGTTTGTTGTGTGACGTTCCTATTGTTCGAGTAGCGCGTCGACCCGTCACCCGACACACTCGATGTGTCACACCTCGATGCGCGCGGCATACAACCGTCGCGTCTCCCAACGCTCTTTCGTCATTCTATTGTTCCGTCAAGCTTGATCGCCATAGGCGTGTTAAAATTTCGACAGTCACTCCGACGCGACATTGTCAGCGTGCCTCGATCGACGTTTCATCGTTTCATTGTTTCCCCAACAGTGAAACCACAGGAGGAGGACTTAGCGCTCGAGACGGTGGGAGATGTACGGTGCCGAGCGGGAAGAGGTGTCGGAAAGTTGGTTGCACACGTATGATTTGAGCAGCACGATGATACCCAACGTGAGCACGGCGCTCGACGACGAGGAGCACTTCTGCAAGCTCATCCTCTACAAGGAGATCAGAGATTCCAGGTATAACACGCATTCGGACAGTCCCAAAATCAGTGCGGAAGCGGGTTTGCGCAGTAGATTCAGATCCGCTGCAGATACTGTCGGTAGGTTGCTGGCAGAAGTACAAAGGGATCTGCGGACAGAGTATGATGACGGAAACCGAGCAGGATCCGTTTCATCTAAATGCCTGCATTCAGCAGAGAAAGTTCAGTCAGCTCTTAATGATTATCGGATCTTGATTGGTATATTCTCTTGGAGAAAGATCTACTTGTAAAGAAATCCAAGAGAATATTCCAGTTGCAGTCTCAGCTTATGATATACTTTGGCACTGCTTTGACAAGCTTCGATACCGCGGCAAGAGAATATCAATCAAACTTACATAATGTTTAGAAACTCGCGAAGAAATTAATCTTAATCTTAACCTTAATCTGCGGACGCAGGTGGCTATAAATCCGCGACGGTAGATTCGACCGACGATCAATGAACGGAACGACCACGTGTGTCTCACGTGTGTGTGTGTGCGTGCGCGCGTGTGTCTGTTGTTTTTCAGGGTGCGAATATGGGACGTCGTCATCTTAGTGCCGAATCTCTTGTTCCTTCTGTTCATCGCCATGCGATTCAACCGAGCGAGGCTGAAGCTGCGCGCAACAAGCAGTCCGATATTCTTAGCGTTTTACGGTCTCGTCATTTGCAACGTCGTGATATCGGTGGTACGCTGCGTGGTGTCCATGACGGTGAACGCGGCGGCGACGGTCGGTGGTAAGGCCGACAAGGTGCTCTGGGTCACAGTTCGATTTTTTCTACTATCCACCGAGATGAGCGTAGTTATATTTGGTTTGGCGTTCGGTGAGTGAAATCCGGGTCGGCGAGCAACACGCACATCGTGCACCTCGAGCTGAATTCTCTTTCTGTCGGTTCCTCTCAGGCCACTTGGACAGTCGCTCCAGTATTCGCCGAGTATTGCTTGCTACGTCGCTCATAGCCTTGGCGTTCACAATCACTCAAGGAACGCTGGAGTTGGTCTTGCCGGACGACACGTTTCATATTCCCAGCAGGGACTTCTACGTGTTCGGTCACGGCGGCATGATGTTTTGGTTCTGCAGCAGTCTCGTTTTTACCACGGTACGACACTCACACACATTATACGGAGGAAAAGTGCCGTTGTATCGGTAGAAATTCACCCGACCGCGTCGTGTTTGGCGTACGCGGCGCCATTAATGAATCCGAGCCAGTTCTCCGTTGGGATTCTAGATGAAAACAAAAATTCCCTCGATTCCGATAGCAATGTCATTGAAACTGATGTATCATATATTGTTTCCCTCGTCCCGACTCGCCGAGATTCTTGGCTTGCGGATATTAGGATGAGAAAATTGCCGAGTCTCACGATTTAATTTCATGTACGGCTTAATAATCGTTTATTCATTAAGGGCATTCCGAGGCACAAAATTGTGATTGCGCCGCGATCGTACAAAGCCTGCATCATCATTTCTCGGACTGTCTCTCATCGAAAGAAGAAAATTTGACAGGCTTATCGTCGGGCTATTCAAAACAGGCGTTGATAAAAGAGGCGTTTCGCATTTCCCGACAGTGTCACGGGCTTTTATGTGATCGACAAATTCGTCAAACGAACGTCAGCGTTTAAAAGCGATTTCGGTTGGTCGCCGGCGCTTTCTTTCACGCGACGCCACCACGGCGACATGAATGAATCGGAGCCAGTTCTCCGTTGGAATTCTAGATGAAAACAAAACGAAGAAAGGAATGCGATAACGTTGTTTCGTTAACTCAAGTATCAGTTTTAACGATATCGCTGTCGAGTCAGAGAAGATCTACTCGAATTGCGGCGCTGTTTATCATTTCCGTCGATAGTAACGTAGCACTTTCCCCTCCAAGTATATTTACTTCCTATTGGTTGAACGGAGTTAGATAAGCGGACACACGTGTCATTGAGACCATTGATATCGCTTTCAGATATATCTCTTTATATTGATACTGCCATGGACACGGTTGCGGGACCGTTTAGCTCTTCCCAGTAAGTAGTCCCCAGTGAGGATCACGAGATCGCAAAGTCGTCGACGAAAGTCGCGCACGAGCTCTAAAGCGCATCTCGTTGCAGCACGGAAAAGCTTTTACGTTTACGCCGGAACGCTGGCGACGTTGGACCTGGTGCAATCGATCGGTGCTGGTTTCTTAAACTACACGCAGAATCCAGTGGGCCTGTGCATCGTAGACATCACCGCGGCGGTGTATCTAACTCTCTTCACCCCTCTGGTTTACCACACGTTCCTTTCGGAGTTCTTCGGGTAAGTTTCGTCCGCACTCGAGGCAACATTCGGGATCAGGGTCGCATCGTAAATTTATGCCGTACATCAGTCTCAATTAGGAAATCATTCACGTATCCGATATTCTGATGTTAGTTATGAGAAGATATTTAATGTTAAAAATTGAAAAGCCGATACATGCAGGTAATATATTTTATCGCTTAAATTCACCTGTTGCCTTTTAAATAGGAAACGACAGTGTTCCCTGGTTCCTCTTTCGTAGCATCGTGAAATATTAAAATTGTGCTGTTACGTTTAAACCAAATAATTTCTTAATATATTAGACGAATACACAAATGTTATCGTTGAAATTTACCTACGAGCCTCAACAGAAACAAAACATAAAAACAGGATTTAGAAAATGTGAGAGAAAGACGAGCCGTATCATGAAGGATTATAGATTATTCGTTATCTATACATAGATATATAATTTACGTTGTCTACGCGTGAACGTCCGACCCTGGCCTCGAGATCCGTCGGATCATCCGGACGATACATTTCGGGGATTCGTCTTTCTGTTTCAGGGTCTCGCAGCCGTCGATAATGTTCTCGTACAAAGCGCAAGTGGACGACGCGATGGACGAAGACACGGTGTCGTTGCCGCATCAACAGAGTTTCTCGTCCTTGAAAACCGACAGCGATTACATCTATCAGGTCCATACACCTTCTATTCACATGCCACTGTATGACTCCCAAGCATCGAAGTCGTTTATTTCCAAGCAAAGAGCCTCCCTATACTCCCTAACGTCGGCGAAAGAGCCGAAAAGTAGCGACGCGGACAACAACTCGCAAGTAACGCTGTACCGCTCGACATCCGGTGTTAGGAGCTTGGGTAGGCGTCTAAGCGCGGAAAAGGGTACCTCGGAGCTGACGAATTATCCCCTGATCAAATCCGGCGCTCTGTCCGACTCGCAAAAGAGCTCGCCCGATCTGAGATTCTCCGGCCCGAGCTGGAAGGCCGTGTCCGTGGCGCACATCAAGTACGGCGGTCCCAGTAGCGTCTCGAATTTGCTCCTCTCCACCGATACCGCTAGTAACTTCCTCTATAACCCGAGAGCGAACGACAGCAACGTTAATCTGTTCCCGGTTCGGACGAGGAAGAGCAGCTTAGACGGGACGCGCCGCGTGCCGGATCACGCGATGATCGAGCGCGGCAGCGCGGAAGTAGCCCCCCCGCCGCTAGAGAACACGTTACAGTCTATCTTGGACAGCGGCACGTTAAAGGCGGCCGACACCGACGTCTTGCTAGAGAAGGGCGGCGCCGATGCGCGTTCGAGTCACTCGATAATCACGAGGCGGTACGAATTCCCCGGGGTGGTCCGCTCGGAGGACGCCCCGAGCGTGACGCAGCGACTACTCCCCAGATCCACTTCCTTCTGCACGGCCGACACCTACGGGAAGAACGATTCGAAGGGTCGGGAGCCGGGCGGTTTGAACGATTACCTGCTCTCGGTGACGTCCCCGAAATTCCAGAGGCATTATCACGGCAGGAACGAGGCGAAACGCGAGCCGTCGCCCCGCGATCATCATCGTCCCGACTCCTACGCGCAAACCGAATCTTTGTAAATAACCTCCTGTCGGCCCGCAAACAAGCTCCGCAAGCCGCTCTTAAGTAGCTGGTCTACCACACACTTGTACATATACTCGTAGATAACTTTACACGTTGTTAATTTTACCGGTTGGTTTTATCGATTAACACGGAACAGATCTGAACGTTGAGAATTATCGGGGGAGGGGGCGTCGCCGCCGCCGCATACCGTCTGATTGTTAATCGCTAAGTTGTGCATTATAAATGCGTTAAATGGTGAGGTACCGCACGTGAGCTTCATCCCGACTAACTTGTAAATATTTAGCATGTCTAGAAGTATAATCTTGATTAAACGTATATTGATGTAGCCAATGCACTTGGTTTCATTTATTTACACTAACTTGACGATCTCACAACCCCTTGGCAATGGTCTACACACCCCGCTTTTTTCTCTCTCTCTCTCTCTTTCTCCTTCACGCGGAAATTCACTCCTGGAGTCTTGCCGGATATTTTTACACAAAGTGACATTTTGTTGCGCGGCTACGTGCGTCTATGTGTGAGTGCGTGTGTGTGTTTGTGCGCGTGCACTGTTCGCACCGATAGCTTCAATGTCGCGATGATGCGCGTTATTTTCTCGTTTTCACGTCCTTTTCACAGTTCGCGATTACTGCGCCATTCAATTGGCCGGCATATCGACGCATCCCCCTCGCGGGATTCTTTTCTACGGACACTTCCGGCGAATCGCATACGTTGTAGTTATTGTGTACGGATACCTCCCAACAAGGAAACACAGAGAGACACTCCGTCACACAATTGAACACGGTAGCTTGATGTGACGTTTTAATTTTCGAAACAGTCGCCAGTTAGCGATGATGTATACTAAATGTTAACAAATATAACGTGCAATGTTTTCTAATGCGGATTTTGATCGCTCCAGGAACGATTGATAGCGTGATAAGTCTCCACCAGCCAATTATAGAACTTAAAACGTCCGCGATCGTTTCTGAAGCGATTCGAATCTATTTCAAAAGAAGAAGCTAGTGATTTTATCGTCAATTATAATTTTTATTCATCACTGTCATCCAAAAATATTTGCTATTTGGCAAAATATGAGTGTTATGGAATATCAACAACTGTTTCGTTATTACAATGATGAAAATATATCATATATAGAAAGACTGAAAATACGCCAAAAATTGTCATAAAGAGTGAAAGCAATACTTCGGTATATTTAATATTACAAATATAAAAATTATATAAAAATTATCAAACAATTGGCAGCCTTAATACTAACACGAATGTTCGGCTTTGTAGTTCTGTGTCGATTTGTGTTTTATTGTGTCAGGAAGGCACTTGTGTCGACATTGTGTCACCTGTGTCTCTTGTTGGAAGGCACCCTATGTTAGTTTCACAGTAATCTTCTTTAACCCCTTTACTGGCAAGCTGAATTTCGCAAAAATGCTTGAGTTGGCAAAAATGGATTTCCAAACGTTAAGCGGTGTCATTGAAATTTTGTGTCTAGAGATTTTTGAGGTCACTGTTCATGAATATGAAGTCAAAAATTTACAAACACAAAATGATGGGCTCAACATGGCGACTAAAATGATGATTTTATTTCATCAAAGTAAAAATGGAATCTGCAAATTCCCTCTATATTTAATGTATTTTTAAGTTGTTAGTTGCGAATCAATAATTAAAACTGTTAATTTAAAACAAAATACCGGAATAACAAACAAATATATATATATATATATATGGATAACACACTGTTTTAGTTATCTAAGGCTGCATTCCGATATTCACTGTCAGTATTGAAAATTTACAGTTCATGTTATGTATACTGTAGATTTTAGTCGGAACGTAGCCTATATTGGTTTGAGTATTCGCCATTTCGAATTTTTATTTTTAAAATTTACCGTTGAAAAGAACGACCTCAAAAACCGCAAAATGCATTTCAAAATTTTTGTAAAACCTTTACGTTTATTTAACTTTAGATCGGCCGTATTACATCCGTTATTTTTAATTTTTAATTTTGAACTTCACTGTTAAACTGAGCGATCCCAGAACCTTTGAATATTTAATTTGAGAAATATTGAACTACCGGTAATACATCAAAATACAATATTGCGTTTCCGCCAGTCAAGGGGTTAATTAAGAACTTGCTCTCACCGGTGAATCGCAAAGCGGAATGTTCTTCTTCTTTTTGCAGAATCACAGTGTTTATGACTCGACCCAATTCGACACGAACGCTACGCCAATCAACCCGCTCTATGCGGCATCGCTGCAAAGTCCAGATAGTATTACCGGTTACAGTATAGACAGTCAAGAGGCGCAGAACCCGCCGAATGGTTACCAGCAATGAACCGTCGTAAATGTCGGCGCTCTGTATGTGCGCGCGAAACGAACGAACCACGAGCGAATCTGGATACGAACGATTATCCAACGCATCAAAAATCGCAAATCTACCAAGAGCTTTATGAAATCCAGAGAATCTCATGTTCTCTCGCTTTGAGAGCGTGTGTCGTAAAAGTGAAGAGAAAAAACAAGTAAAGAAAGAGGAGAACAAGGAAGAAGGGAAGGGAAAGGGAATTTGTGAATCGGAACAAAGTATAGCTCCGGTTGCTGTGAAACCTGTCGAAGGAATCTAGTCGCTCTTGAATACTGTTAAGGTCGTAATACGCGATACGAATGCTTGCGGTCTCCATGTGATAGTTGGCGCGACGCGTGCCCAACGCGTGATTGCGAAACGCTGGGAGAAACCGCAAAGAGAAAAAATCGAAAAGAAAAAAAAGAAGAAAATGAAAGAACGGAAAAGTTGCTCGTTATATATAATTTTTAGTTCGCTTTACTTAGAACGTTCTCGCGAGAAACAAGTAGAGAGATCACTACTGATTCGTGTTAGTTTTGTACTTAAACTCAAGAGATTCTTGCTGCACACGAAGGTCGAATTTCCTTTCGGCATTAAGTACATTTGTCACGCATTTATCAAGGGAAGTATGAGATGTTCAGGTCATCCCAAAGAACTCGCGTGTATCCTCTCTCTCTCTATCTCTCTCCCTCCCTCTCTCTCTCTCTCTCTCTTTCTCTCTGCCTCTCTCTCGATGACACTCAACATGCGTCGAAGGTATCGCCGCACTCAGTTGACGTTCAATTATAAGCAGAGTCTCGAGGGGGATGAGAAAAACTTCTTCGAGTTTTATCCTAGAATAACATCGGGCGATTCTACCATTCTACCTGCGCCGAATCATCGTTACCCGTCGAAGCTCAGACACGACGATGATGGAGAGACACGTGACCTTTTGGGATACCCTGCATATCAAGTGCGATAATCATCCGCGCGGTAATAATCATTTCCGTATTGTTTTGTATCGAGAATCGCAGGCTGCCTTGTGTCCCGGCTTTGTGGATTCTCAACGCAAATGTGTGTGTGTGTGTGTGTGTGTGTGAGGGGGAGGAAGAGAGAAAGAGAGAGACAAACAATTTAGATTTAACTTTTGGAAAACTTGCTTATCGTTTCTCCGTCCTTCTCATCAAAGTGGTGGACCGTCGTGTCGCACGAAGGTCCTCCTCGATTGCGCGCGAAGCGGCAAGCCGGACACTCGCTATTTTCCTACTTTTGCATCGAAAAATCATTAGATCGATTAAGGACAATAGGAGTCATTATAAGATAATAAAACGTCTCTCGCGCGCGCGCGGAGATAGGGACTAGTTAGACTTTTAAGGGAGGAGAGGAGGGGGGATGAACTCCCTTCGAGATGCTCCAGTAATTATTACGAAGACTCCATCCATGGTGTATATATATGATCTGTACTCTAGTGTAAAGGGGCTATTTATATATATATATATATACTAACATATACATATATATATATATATACAAACCACGTATATATGTATATATATCGATATTACGTATCTATACGTGAGCGCATCGTAATTCAACTGGTGAATTCCGGCGGGTCCTAGAACAATGGCTCCTGCGTCGCTCGTGTTTTTCAATCGACGGACCGCGCAGGAGGGGAGAATAAAAAAACAAAGAAACGGAAATTAAGGGAAAAAAATTAGCGTTTAGTAGTTTCGCGCGAGGTTGTAACGTAGACACTTCTCCCGCCGTTCTCCCACACGAAAAGAAAAAAGAAGAAAAAAGCGAGAAGACGGAGAAAGGGGAAAGCGGGAGGCGAGGGAAGGCTAGTAGTGACGTAACTACTGTGTATTTTCTAGCGTTAATCTACTCGAATCCTGTATATATTAAACATACGCGATACGAAACGGTATGCATGGAACGGTGTTAACACGATGAGTCTCTCTCTGTCAATTGCAAATCATTCTTGCTTTTTACGATCTCCGGACTACTTACTCACCCTGCATTCCTCCCACGAGCGTTATTCGCGATCGTCTTACTATGTGATTCTTTTGTAAGCGTCGAGTGCAGCGTATAAGGCAATATTGTGACCGCGTAATGCAACTATATTTAATTAAGAGAGAGGAAGAGCGAACGACGAAATAAGACGAAATAAATTGCATTTCAATGTAACGCTCTCGCGTTCTCTCGTGCGTTATCTCATCCACGTACCTGATTTGCCCGCAACGAAGAAATTCGAAGAGAGAGATTTGCAATAAAGGATTAGCTCTGTTGAGAAAAACCAGGTGAGAATCCATATAGGAAATACGGAATCCCACGGTTGCCCTTGAGGATTGAGTACCCAAAAACCCAAATCCTAGGCATGAATCTGTGTGGATTCTTACATGAATTTTAATAAACCATATGGATTTCCGCACACCGCGTGGATTCCTATATGGATTTTTAATAGCCTACATGGATTCACATGAGTTTCATTGGATTTCTATAGGGAATCCGCCTGGAAATTCGATTCCTTATAACTCGTGTGCTTATATGAAACTTAGCAGTTAACAGAAAATTAACCTTCAAACTCTGCTGATCATCATTATGCAAATAAAGGTCAGTTTGAATCAATTGGTAATCGTGATGAAAGTGTTAACGATGTCAGATTCAGAAGATAGTAAAAGTGGTGATCTCGTTTTAAAACATTCCTAAATCTTATTCTCCGTTTCTTTTATCGTGTTTTAAACTACAACTTATTCTTAATATTTTACCTTCAATTCGTTATATTTATATTTAATTCCTCGTCCCTTATTCCTTTCATCGTATCTGAGCTCTGAGAAAAGCGAGGGTGAATGGAAGACACGGGGATTTTAGTTGCCCGAGCGCTCGCTAGATGGCGAGGTGTGTATATCCGCGCACGACGAGGTCTGCGCTACTTCGGGCAGCTGAGAGAATTCACGTGTCACAAACATATACAGCGAGCAATAGTTTATTACAAACAGTACAACATCACCGCGTGTCTTCGTACGTCTAAAAATATCGTAGAAGTCATATCTTGTTAAAAAAAACGAGTAAAACAAGTGTGGCGTTTGTAACAAAAGGTAACATGAACGACGATTGGAAGGGTAACTCGAAGACGTCGGTATCCGCGACGCAATCGTGGACGGATCATCGCCATAATCCGTCATCGCGAAATCCTCGTCGTTCCCAGGACGGGATCGTTGACTCGAGCCGCTTCGTGATCGGTACACACACACACACACACTTGACGTCATGAAAAACTTTCTCTCTGCACATCGAACTCGGTCAATGGCGCGCATTATTCAACGAGATTCGACGGCGAGATTGTGCTCGCCAGCGCGGCGTGTCGAGCATATCGGGATCGGCCGGTCTAGCGTGACTCATACTCGGCTCTCAATATTCCGCAATATGTACATATATAAATATCCATATATAATAACTCACGCGCACAAATCGGATCGCAAATACGCGCCACAACGCGCGTACGGCGAAAGGCGGATCCGCGAAGAGAAAAGAATCCGTCGTTGATTAAAAACCCGACAAAAATGTTTATACAAGATAATATAAAATTATATATAATTATATGTGATTTATACATGAATTTTGTCTCTATATGTAGCTATATACATAATTATATACAATTATATATATCCACACGAAGTAAAAATACTATTAAGTAAGAATATTATTGAGCGAAGAACGGAAAAGATAATTTGACTCAATTAAATGTTTACACCGTGGGCAGCCACGAGTATAAGTATTTACCTCAATTATATTCATAGTATCATTCAAGTGTAACAGCATTTTTCAGATTTGGACATATATAATTATATATGATTATACACAGGCACAAACATATAGCGACAAAATTCAAATATAAATTCAAACCTTTTCCCAGGAAGCTCATTTTATCTTATCGAACGCGTTTTTCCTTCACAGTTTGGACGGCAGACGAAACTCCAGGGCCCAGGTTTTCTTCACTATCGGGTCGTCGCTTACGAGAGACCGCAGCACGTCCACATCTGAAAGGGAAGTAAGAGCGAACTGTGCACTTGATTTCAAAACGGATGTGATATATATATAGGGACCCTCGAGATACACAATCGAATGAAAGACGAAAGGCAAATAGGCGAAAACCCGTATGTATTTATTTCAGTTTTAAATTTATTCGATATCGTCGAGTATTTCCATATTTTCCACAGCTGTATTACCGATATTCGCCTCATTTTTAATTCCAACATTATCTTAGAAAAAAAAAAAACTTGCAAGTCTACGTTGTACGTGACGAGTTGTTTATAACGAATAAATTAAAAGAAGGGTCGTTGAAATCGCCCGGGGAAAAATGATTATACATGATTATATATAATTATATAAAATCATATATGAATTTTGCCCATATATGTGGTTACATATGATCATATATCCGTACGAAAAAAATGATTTATGTCATTTAAATGTTGATGTCATGTGCTATCAGAAGCACAAGTATATATATTCCCGGGCAATTCCCGGGCGATAACAATTCCAAGACGCGAGTTTATTACTCGCCGACATGCGTTTCGAATTTTCGCGTGAAGTCACACAAGTTGTCAGAGATTTCGCTTACCGGGCGCTTCTTTGAGAGACATTCGGCCTTAAAAAGGATAGACACCGTGATCGTCACAATACTAATTTTTTGATACGTCACAAGAGTCACGGATAATGAATAACTGTAAATCACGCGGAACAGTAAATCCAATACCCGGAAGCATTTGCTTCGATTGTATTTGCATATAATTTAAGTAAACAACAATATTTTTTCGTCGTGGAGATGTATGATTACATAAGTCATATATGGGCAAATTTCGTTTATGATCTTTTTCTTTCCCGGGCGGTTGAATATCACAGACCGTCGGCTGACTTTTGTGCCGAAAAAAGACCGCGCCTTTCCTCCCGCTGTCGGGACGGCGCGAAAGAAACTCCGGGTCTGCTTACAGTCGCCGCGGCCAAATTGTACAGTCGTTAGGTGTCGTCAGGGTCAATTTAGATTTGTTTACTGACTGTCAGTGAGCAAGTATTGCCGCAGGGGCTTGCTCAGCACAGCGACCGGTACCGACAGGCTCATCCGCTGGTAGTGCACGCTACTGTCCATGGACTCTACATTGGAGGCGATCATTCCCAGCATTCTGCCGGTCTTCCGGCTGATTATCGGCCCGCCGCTGAAGCCGCTCTGGATGCAACAGGTCGTCATGAGCATGCAGTCCAACGATTTGGACACGATGCCGCAACTCACGGTCGGCCGGGTCGACAGCAAGAGCGCGAATCCCACGGCGACCACCGGCTCGCCTGCGGACAAACGCCACGTACTTCACCGGGGTGGAGAACGCCAGCGAGCGAGTGTGCGGAAGGTATCGTCGTTGGGGAATCATGAGGGAAGGAGCCCGGTCGAGGCTGGACTGCGGATCCGGGGAAATTTTGCGATTGTCACGACGTTAATCAGTCGACAATGGGGAAACTTGATGAAAATTGAGAAAAAGGCACCGCATATATGTAACCGTATATATCGTAAGTTCGTCATAAGTATTCAAATGATTTCAAATATATCCTGAATCCTAGTAAGTTTAATATTTCAAGCGAGAGTATTAAATTAAAACAAACTTCGTTTTGTATGCGCTTATTTTAGTTAAATTAACCGAATTTGACCTTTTTTTTACAAAGTATAACATTCTTGAAGAGAAAATAAGGTCTTCCTTTGAGTGTATGGCGATAAGCTTTCTCAAAATTTGTGATGGGTATATATTTTGAGGCCATATTATGAAGAAAATATACTTTGCTGAAGGTAACTATTACTTAAAAGAAGATGAAGTAAACAAAGTGAAAGTTTTTATTCCATCGGCAAAGTTTTCGAGTACGGCATCTTCTTGTGACTCGTCATCTTTGTGCCGTGACGCAGATATAGTTTTGAAAAGTTTCGCACGCACGACATGGTCAATATAAGAGCGGGACTCTTATAGAACACGGGCGATAATAGGTTTCTATTGCGATCGCGCAAATGGACGATCACTCGTGCGTTTCTAAGTTAGAAGAAGGACAGACCAAATATCAATTTCACCCCTACCGACGATCAATTGACCCAATTTCTCGCAATTATAAGTTATTTCTGCCCCAATGGAAAGAGGTCAATGTCCCGCACGGCAGGCGCCAACGAACCGCCCGACACACCGCCGTCGGTCGACATGTCGCTAATATTTTTCTCATTACGAGGAAGCTACGGAAATGAGCTTCAATAGACTGTCCGCAATTCCCGGGCGATAACAATTCCAAGACGCGAGTTTATTACTCGCCGACATGCGTTTCGAATTTTCGCGTGAAGTCACACAAGTTGTCAGAGATTTCGCTTACCGGGCGCTTCTTTGAGAGACATTCGGCCTTAAAAAGGATAGACACCGTGATCGTCACAATACTAATTTTTTGATACGTCACAAGAGTCACGGATAATGAATAACTGTAAATCACGCGGAACAGTAAATTCAGTAAGTAAGCATAAAAATGAACAAGTAAACGAGAATCCGTGGTAAACCGAAACGTTCCGTCTGTTTATAAATTAAAGTGAAAAATTTTGTTCACATTTAAAATATACATAAAGTAAAATATGGGTCAAATTGACCCCCATGCAAGCACTTGCGTCAAAAAAGACCACGTGTCTACTCTTACGGGTTAATAAGTAAATTTAATTTTCATTCAACCAAGTTAATTTTACTATTAACTTTTAACTTAATTGAAAATAAAAATTAACTTACCCAATCCTGAGCATTACCTTGCACGATCGGAGCATCGGAAAACTGCACGGGTTCCAACGATGGGTCCAACATGCTCGGTTCCACCCTCAATACAGCGACGTCGTAAGGCAACATTTCCGTGTTACTGAACAATAACTTTGCCGGCACGCGTGAATACCTCCCCCCTCTAAATATAACGATCGATATCTCCATTTCCGGCGCCTGTCGCACATCAGAATTCGCTTCGAGTAATTCTCGTAACTTCGTTACTCATCTCAGAGACCGTTTCATCGCTGTATTATTGTCTTTGTCTTTCTAATTTTTTTTCTCTCTTTCTTTCCCAGCCCTCCGAAAAGTTTGATTCAGCCTTACCTCTTCGATGACGTGTGAACACGTCAGGAATGTTCCGGTGTCTTTATCAACGAGAACGCCAGTGCCTTTATTGATCCCGCAGGTAACCATCACGACGCCTCTGTCTAGCGCTTTTTTTTTTTCGTTAAAAAAATAAATAAACAGGCTGATTTTTAAGAGGACGAAAATTTTACGGGAAGGAACGTAAGACAACGTTTTACGAACCACTTGGCTTATCGTGACGTATGGTGGACTTGATCGAAGGCAGAGGACGATGTTTTTGCTGCAGAACCACGGACAAACACAGCGCGAGATTGGCGGCGAAGGTGTAGTGCACCCATTCATTTTGGCACCAGGTCATCGTCACGATCACCATCCCAACGAGAGTTCGGTTTCCGCTTGTGTAATAACACGATAATAATAACAACGCGAAGACGTTAAAGAACGCAGGAAACCGCGTAATAAACGATTGATTCTATCAAGAACCGTGAGATTCCCCGTCCGATGAAACAGCGGAGAACTGTTTCTGTTCACATTGACTCTTAAACTACAAGTACACGGCAAACTTAGCGACACTCTGACCGTATGACCAAGAATATATAATCTTATACAAAAATCGAACTTGCTGTTAATTACAATTACCTGTTCGGCGAGACAACGTAGACAGGGCCGCCCTCGCTCTTCGGGAATACGTACGCGTCCGTTATGACTACGCCGCCGATGAGGTTGCTGACGATACCCTGCGCCATCGAGTTGATGAGCCAGAGATTCCCGAACGGCGACGAGACAATTTCCACGGGCGCACCGCGGGCGAAACTCCGCGAGGACGATTGGGTATGCAGGTAGCGGAGAGCTTGTTCGGCCGTTGATGGATTTTTCTGCGGGCGGTCCGAATCGACGCGAACCAGCAAGAAGAGCACTCGCTGCAGAGGTGACCTGCACATGTCGCGTTCGTAGAACTTCCACGTGCTGAAGAACCTGTCGAAGGTCTCCATGAGGAGCGGACATATCCAGGCGTACGCGACTCTGCCGATGTGTTGCTCGATGGTCGCGTTCAGCTCGCGCAGCACCGAAAATTCCAGCTGCTTCGCGACCTCCACAGGCGCCTCCGTCAGTTGTCCCGGCGTGATGCTCGAGATGAACTTGGATATCGCATCGGACGTGTTGACGATCGGGTCCAGCACGGTGCCGTGCGTCAATACCCAATCCCGGGAGATCGAGATGGCGGAGCTCTTCGACAATCTCGACGCTTTTCCTTCCGGCGATGACCTGTGTAACAGGAGCGCGCTGCCCGCCGTCCATACGTCCGGGTGAAACGAGGATGCGCACATCTTTCCCTCTCAATGATGCTGAGGACGTTCTGTGGATGAAAAGAGTTGCTTCGATTATCGAGTCGCCTTTTGCGCCCTGAAAAGAAAGGAAGGAAGATAAATATAATAACTGCGATAACGCGTCCCTTGAAGGAGTCCCTGAACACCTTGACGCGCTTGTCGAGGATAAATATTCGCCCGCAGATTTTGACAGCTCACTTGGCTCGAGGTCTAAAGATAGGAGGAACATTGTATTCCTTGTAACGTGAATCCACGCGGGAAGAAGTTGGTGTCGATTCGAGACTCGTATTCTCACATACAAGCAAGAGAATATATTATTTGGCTGGAAGATATGAATGATTGCCAAAGTGTTAAGGGAGCGGAGAGATCAATAGAAGCTTTACCTTCGTCTTCAAATATAAATCTACGCGCGACTGAAATCTGAATCCTACTTTGCTGTTTATTCCGTCGAAGAATTATATTTATAGGCAATTGCAAAAGAATAAGATAACATCAAGTCGTAAAGGAAAGTCGGCTTTTCATTCGTTCCAAATGTGCTCGCTGCCGTGATACCGTTACTGCCCTGTAATCACCTGCGTATAAATCGCGTGTAAAATTCTGCCGATGACGGAAATCTCACGGGAACATCGTCTTTCGATTTGTAGGGAATTACGTCGTTAAGATTGTTGACGCGCCGACGATGACGTGTAATAAGGCAGACTCCCGATCTGCCCCCGTCGCGCACGACGTCACGGCGCGCGCAGTGTCGCACCTGTTACACCTAAAGCAACAGAGCACGTTTCGCAACGCGGTAAATATTGAGCGATCAAACATCGGGCCACTCTTTCCCCTCTCTCTCGCGCGCGCGGAGCGCAGCTGCCTCATTCGTCGCGCAATTCAACGGTGAAAGGGTTAATTGTCGCGAGCGCGGCACCGTGAAATCGCGGCGTTCGCGCGATAAAAAGGGCCCCACTCGGCGGAGGAGGGAAAAGGATAGAAGGAGGTAGGGGAAAGGAAGAAAAGAATGAAAAAACACACACACACACAGATACAGAGAGACGTGCGGCAGCAGACACCGTCGCGTAATCGTGAGTCACCGCAAGCGCGCTTAAGCAAAGAGAACGAGATTAGGAATGGAAGAGCGGAGGAAGCTAGGAATGACTTGCGTTCGTCCGTCTGTCCCATCCGTCCTCGGCCGTCCCCCGAGAGCTAGAGTATCCCCCTGTAAACACAATGTGATTACGGCCGCATACCTGAACGATAACATAAGCGGCTGAAAAAAAAGCGGCGGGCTCCGACGGGACTTGGCCTCCTGTTCGCCTCCGAATGACGGAGCTTCGGAATATCGTTTGTTCCAAGAGGAATATCGTCCCACAAGAAGAAGTCACTTGTATAGATTCCGACGGTTTAGCTTCTCTTCGTCGCGATTAAAGTAAAAGTATCGACGCCTAGATGTGTACATAACTCTTTAAATACGAATATTTAAAATGTCAACGTAGAATACAAACACACATGCATACACACACTCTCTCTCTCTCTCTCTCTCTTTATGTTGAAATATTCGCACTTAAAGATACGTGTATATACATTTTATATTGAAATATTCATATATTTATTCTTTTACCTTACGTCCCCCGTTATTACACTGAGAGAAAAATATCTAAACAATAAAAAGTATTTATCCTATCCTGTGGATTCTACAATAATATAATATTATTTATTATTATTATATAGATTCAAGTTACATATGTATGCATTATTAATACCCACCGAATAAATATATTTTATTTGTTAAATATCTTCCCTCTCAGTACCAAGACTGTTTCTCTCGTTCGTCCCGTTATCGTCGATTATCACGTGCATATTGATATATTATTCGTCCATCTGACGAAATGCGATCGCGGGAAACAAATTAGATCGGCCTCTCGATCGAGTGAGTGAGAAACGATTCGTTATCAAAATTACACGGAAAACTTGGGGCACGCTTCGTTTGTACGAAGCAGACGTCGGTCTTTGCAAGTCGGATGTGAACTACTTCCGCACGCCGCGATGTTTCATAAACTATAAAAAGGATCGTTGTGATAATGCGCGGCAACGAGGGGAATTTGACATTGATCGTACAAACAAGATATTTCCCTTCTGCAAACGAAACAACTGCTTTTCTCGGATGTTTACGCGGATTCAACAAAGTCACGTGTGTTTTCAGCGTTTATGTCGTGACCAGCCAAAGTTACCGCCGTTTCAATTTTCCTGCGCTATTTTCGCAAATAATCGCCGCTTTATGCGCCTCGGGGACGTTTCAGAATTGTTGGATCTCGAAGAAGAAACGTTCCACATGTTACCCAGAAATCTCACAGCGTTCGCCGCTTACGCCGAGCAAAGTGGAGCACCGTGCTTCAGGAGAGTTCTCACAGGATAATAAAAAAAAAAAAAAGCGCTAAAAATAGTCGTGACTCAGCAGGGGCCGCGACATGTGCCCAATGATATAAAAAAAAAAAAAAAGAAGCTGAATACGCGAAAACGGCGTCCACGAAGGACGAGAGAGAGGAAGAGAGAGCGCAATACGTCACGCTTTTGCAGCGGCGTGTGACGTATTAGAAGGTCTGATTTTCCTGGAACAGTGGACGCTACTACGTAGTAGCGAACTGGTTTGACGGCACGTGTCACAAAAATGAGAAAAAAATTATCCCCCCCGAAGGGGGCGGATGGGGCACACGGGAGTCTAGAATAAACGCAAGCTCCGCTCGACGGGAACGTTTGAAAAGTCCACGACGAGATGTGATGATACATAATGCCTCTATGGAATATATTCGGCCGTAGTATAAGAAATATGCCGATCATTAGAGCCTTCAGATGGCGGCGAAACGATCCTATGGAGGTTAAACGAGCGTGAATATGTACACGCACGCGTATATGTGTGTGTAGGTTGTGTGACTACGTCACGTGTTATTCTAGAGCTAAATTGTCCGGCGGCCCGACCACGTGTTTTTGCCTATCCCGACCCAAATGGTAATAGCTATCCTAAGGTTATTCAGGTAACAAAACAGAGACGAAAATCTCTCAAGGTAACGCCTGACGGGCCGAACTCTTCAAACATAGACTTCACTTTTAGCCTTTAAAAGGCTATTACAAATATGATCTTTATTGCGCCCGATCGTCAAATTTTAACACCACGATTAATTTGCATATTTATTATTATTATTAATCTGTATATATATTCGATGACCAGTTCGGTTGTTGCGCTGAATTTGAAATTCACGAATACTATCTGAAAGATGTCTTAATATTATCTGGATAGTTTATGTGATTATAATAATTGCAAGTAAATCTGAACGGTAACTCATATCAATCGGGAATTGCTAAAACGGCGTTGCGCGCAAATATTTGCACGTTAAGCGGATTCTCGCACGCTCTCCGGGATTCACGGTCTCTCCTCCCCTTCGAATCCGCGCGTTTCCTCCCGATCGACTTCTGTCTTCTCTTCTTCTTGCTTCCTCTCTCTCTCTCCCGACAATGATGGCCGTGCGACCGCTTGCCAGCTTGCCGGGCGATCTTCAATGAAGATTGCCGACTACCCGGCCCTCCCGTGTTTCTTCTTCTTCTTCTGCCGCGTCGCGTATTAACCGCTCGTATATACGAGATGTGCACACGCAAGCATACGTGAACTTGCACCGGCCTCGCGTACGACGACTAAGCAATGTTTGTTGCACGAGTCGGAGTTTTCAAGAAACTAAAAAAAAAAAATCAAATCAAATAATGAAATAACGAATAAAAATTGATTATTCATCAAAAGGGCCATTATAAGAACCAAATTAAGATGTTTAATTGTCTGCGTCCCACCGAAGATGGTCCAAATAAGAATCGAAACATTTGGAGATTAAAAATTGTAAATATATTTTTAAATGATTGATATTACTCTAATATATATTTCTAATTTATTGCTGTACTATATAATAGCCGTAGATTTGCTCTTAATGATCCTTTCTATTGTGTTTTTATTAAATATCTACAGAGCCTTGTTAGCTTTTGTTATAAAAAAATTACAACACGCGCACTTAAAATATATTCTGAATTCCGACTCGGGGTATCTCCGATACGTGCGACTGTCCTGATAACCCAGACAACCTCGAGGATCCGGAATGTTTTGATAGTGTTGATTGTTTTGATCTCTCGCTCAACGATTATGCGCGTTATTGACTAACGGACGTTGACCGTCAAACCGCGCCGAATGTTTTGGAAATTTCGCGTGTCGCGTATTTTTCCGTGACCGAGTCATTACAATTCAAGCCGACGAGCGAGACGCACGTCGTGACGTTTATGTGTTAATCGACGCGTTAATAATCTTCATTCCAGTTGGACCCCGCAATATTTAATCGCGTTTTCGCCGGCTAATCGCATTAATTTAGCACTTCGATCAAATTATATCTTCACGCGAGTGACAGTGTCACGGAGAAGTATCTGGAATACCGCGACGAAGCAGTTAGGAGCGCAGGATGCTGGATCGGGCAGCTAGGACGGAGGAACCAGGATGCCGAGACGCGGGCAGCAACACATCATGTATTATCAGGTATGTCAAAGTATGGATTCCGAGACTTCTAGATTGTGAGTTAATCACCATAGCTGATTCTGATAACGTGCCTATTATATTATATTATTTGGTATAATTATGACATTCGGATAGCTAATAATGCAGATTCAATGTCTGCGATTGGAAGAGCGAAAACGAGACACGCGATTTACGAGGTAATCGCGCACGCTCACGTTTCTTTCCTCGCGATAATTCGCGTTGAGTGGTCCTTCGGGCGTTATCCGCGGAGTAGGACGAAATATTACGATAACGAACTGGACAGTCTAACGGACGCACGCGTCGATCGTTTTGTTTCGCATCCCTTTCTCCTCGAAGGTCTCAAAAACGATCGCGCGCCGGTCTGACCGCTCGTTTATAATACAGCGAAGCGCTAGATAAACTCCCAATTAACGTGCGCGCGCTAATTTCGTTACCGGTCTCCCGTGGAAGATGTTGCTGTAGTGAAATCAAAACGGGCATTAT